AACTGAAATTTTAGGGAAGTATGTGATATATTATTAGCTCAAGGGAAACCTTTTTTCTTTTTCTTTAAATTTATTTAATAACCACATTAGTGGAAGCATTTCATCACAACAGCACTGGCATAGTCAGTAAGTTTCTAGAGCAAAGATGCATCTCTTTCCAAATTGGCTGTAAATTTTCAGGTTCACAGTGTTACATTAATACAATTATACATTATTGTACTCAGTATAAACCCTATAAGACATAAAACTGAATAAGGTTTTAACCTTTAAAAAAGATCTCCATTTCATTTTAAAATATACTGTTTCATACAGAAAAACTCATTTTTAATGCAACTAACACTTAGATGTTTGCACATGCATCTCTAATCTCTATACATCTGATTATTACTAGTCATAGTCAGTTACTTTCTGAGATCCTTGGCACGTGAGCATGGATATAAAATCATGAAGTAGATTTCAATGGTAATGTTTTTCATATCTAATTAACATGAAACAAATTTTTATGCTTCTTCCTCAACTATAACTCATTTTTTATTAATTGATTTTTGTGTGTATTTCATAGAGAACAGCCCAAACAATCTTACTCATCTTTATACCCACATCCCAAATGGCACCCTCCCATATACCACCCCCACTGGAGCTCATATACTGTCATCCCTGTTACTGTCCACTGTGTTATCAGTGCCCCCAGCCGTTCCCCAGTGCTAGTCCATCCGCTGAGTCTAGTCAGCCTATCTAGAGATCCTTGTTTTAGGAAGATCATCTCTTCGTCAACTAGCAGCAATCAGGTGCCAACATTCTTTTAGATAAGATTGGGGTCTGCTGTTCATTTTCCCAGTTCTATGCTGGGTTACTGTCTGGGAGTCTCCTAGGCCACCCTGGCCAACAACTCAAAGGAAGGTATCTCCTGTCTGGCATTGTTTCTTGTTATGGGGCCTTTAGCTATACACATGGACTCTTAAAGAATTATTCTGATCACTTTAATCTTTGGTTATACTTTCCTTTTGGGTGTTTAAGAAAATACAGTTGGCACAAATTAACCAATTTATTTTTACCCTAAAGTTCATTTGAGGATCTGTTCCTCAGGGGTCACATGGGCTTGGGAGGAGCTCCTGGTTCCTTTCTTTTACCAGTTCCATCTATGTGAAGATAAGTCAAAGGTCCTGCTCAACCATGGCTGGCTTCACTTGGAAGCATTGAGGAAATGGGGAAACATTTTTTTAAAAGACAAAATCTCACTATGTAGCCCACACTGGCCATGAACTCATGATCTTCCTTCCTCATCTTCTCTAGTGCTGGACTACAGGCACGTACCACCATGCCTGACTTCAAGCTATTTCTAATTTTAAAAAACACAACAGTAGGTGCTACAGAAAAGTCCAGTTAACAAAAAGTCAGAATCTATAATGATCCCAAGCTACAGCAGAAAGGAGAAAGCAACAGAATGGTGGGGATCAATGAGGCTCTTGGCCGCAGGCACACTTGAGTAGTTTAACAATGTACAAGGCAAAGCTGCTTCTCTGTTTCTGCAGGCCCAAGAACACAATACAAACACATGTGAAGTCACAGGGCCCAGTGACAAACTCAACTATTTCTTTAATTTTTGTCCTGTTTTAATTCATATCATGAATTCTCGGGGGTTTTAAATTTTATTTTATTTTTAATTAGGTGTGTGTATGTATCTGCGTGTAATTGCAGAGGCCAGAAGAGGGCATCAGGTCCTCTGGAGCTGGAGTTACAGGCAATTGTGATTCTTCTGATGTGGGTTCTGGGAACCAAACTCAGATTCTGGAAGATTAGGAGGGCTCTCAATTGCTGAGCCATCTCTCCAACTCCCTCACAGATACTTTTTCAAAGCTACAGAAAATGACAGAACAATATTGTTCCCACTATCCAAATTTAACAACTGCTATCTTTGGTCATATTTTTCCCAGTTTTTCTTTTCTTTTTTTTCGTTTTTGGAGGCGAGGGTTTCTCTATGTTGCTGGGACTGGTCTTGAGCTTATAGGCTCATGCAGTCCTCTCACTTCAGCATCCTGAGTAACTGGGACTTGCAGGCTCACGCTGCTGTGCCAAGCTACATTTTTTGAAACAAAGACATTGTAGCAATAACTGAAGTCCCTTCCTTCCATTCCCTTATACCATAATGATGCTAAATATCTTTCAAACACATCTATGATAATACATAGTTGTTTTATCATTAAACTTCATGTGTTTTATAAATCTTTTCATAATCTTTTTTATCTAATATATTTTAAAATTACCTCAGAGAAATTAATATTTTATTTACCTTTGGGTTCCCAAGAACTGCAATTCCTAAAGACAGCTTTCTTTTTTGGCCACCACTTAACTTTTTGGCTTGGTTATCTTTGATGGCCTGCATGTCTAAATCTAGCAAAACTTTTTGCACCTATAAAAATAAAATATGAACAATATTATCTTAACAATCATAATTTACATAATCATCAATGTTATTTTTAATGTACTTTAAGTTTCAAAGCATTATTTTAAGCATCATTTAAGAACTATAATTTTTAAAGTAATTTTAATATCAACTTTAAGTGTTCATTTAGTGTGATATTTAATTTTGACAAATATTCACATGTAATTTTGAAATTTGTAAGTAAGAAGATTCTTAGAGGAAAGTCTGTTTCAGTATTTGTCTTCCTGGGTTGTAGAAAGGAAAAAGAAGAGATGAGAAGGTCTGTGTACTGAAGCAAAAGGGAAAGTGCAAAGGACAGGAGACGAGCAGGCAGATGGGAAGAGGGCAGCGGGTAAGGGGGCTCCACAGCGCTGCGATGCCCACTCCAGAGTCCATCTAGTTCTTTGCAGAAATCTTCTGCTTGCTGGCTCAGAACAGATCTCATATGTTTAGATTTTCAAGCATTTTTTATTGTACAATTATTACAAAAGGTTATAAATTTATAGGAAATACAGTGATGGTTTACTTATGAACAACATACTTCTTGTATTATATTGTTGGCTGGTATTCCTTTGATTGAAGCCAAAATTGATAAATTTTCTTCTACTGTTAAAACATCAAAGTTTATATCTAACTGTGGGCAGATGCCAATCATTTTTCGTGCTTCAAACATTTCATCTATTTCAGCAACTCTGTGTCCATAAATAGAAGCAAACCCTAAAAGCAAAATATTTAAATTTACATTAAAGATATTGAGTGCTAAAAATGCATGTTTTGATGTATCCTAATAACTTACTCATTCTGTTACAATGCATATGTAAAGCCAGAATTAGTATAGATTTGGAAGACATATAACACGCTCATTTCTGTACTGGTGTTATGTTTTCACTTACATTTCAATCTAATTTTCCCTCATTTCCAAGCTATATTACACAGTGGAAATAATAAATTGTAAGCTTAATAAGAAACATAAGTAACTATAGCAGCTAAAGGATAAATGTCTCAGCTTGGAAAGCCCCTGCTACGTTGAGAAACCTCCAGCCTGGATACTGTGAAACCCCAACCCGTAACCCAGTGACTGTGCTGTGAAAATATGCCAGCACTCTCCGTCCCAAATCCCCAAACCATAACATCAGCACTTATTCTTTCAAACCGTAAAAGAAAAACCAAACAAACAGGACTACAGAAAAATACCTGCTCTTTCCTTCTAAGCCCCCAAAAAACTGAATCCAACTAAGCTTCAGTGCCTGTTTCCATCCTGTGGAAAAGCTGTGGCCCTTCACTGTTCCTCGTAAAGAACACTGTGCTCCTGAGGTCGGGATGCCAGCTCATTTTCATGTCACCCTGGTCAATCCCGATCTAACAGTTTCTAACAGCAGCGCTTTTTACATTTACATCCTGGTAAAGTTTCCTTCAGCTTCAGATATTATGAGACAATGACGATATCAAAGAACTATAGCAGTTTTACTCAAGCTAGTTGTCTTGAACGTACTAATGTCCTCAATTTCAGCTTTTTTATTATTAAACTGAATGTTAATACGCTTCCCCTAAGAATTATTAAATCAATGTGATAATATATGGAGAACTGTAACAATAATATGTCCTTTAAGTAAGTATAAGATATGACTAACATCAAGGAGTGTCACAAAGTAAGAACAAACAACAAAATCAAAGTAATTTTAAAAATGAGTTAAGCCACTACTCGATGCTGAAATGCAAACTCAATAAAATTTGGCCCCTTTTTGAAGTAAATTATTTCACTGCCACACTGCAGAACCACGGGGTTTTCATGGCTATTTCTATAAAATAATCACAGATCAAAATTACACATTTGAGGTACCACTCTTCAAGTTTTATTTTGGAAGACGTTTACCATTCTTTCCTCTAGTTGCATATTTGGAAATTTGTATTTATTTGTTTCACCTTGAAATACTCTAGAGTTTTAATTTCCATTTAGTTACTGACCTATTCTTCCATGAAAATAGGTATATACACTCAGATACAAAATTGGATTTTTTTTACTTTATTACACTTCACAGACTTATTTCCATTTTCACTGAAAAAGTATATAAAGAAAAAAACTCCTTCATAGACACACACGCAAAAAAGCTATTCCAAATCACTGACAAATCACCTGGTATACATATAAAGAGGACAAGTAATTGCTGTATACTGTGATTCCTTGATTAATAACACCAAAAAAAAAGAGATTTTTTTTTTAAGTCTGAAAACTCTTACCATCAGAAGGTGGGCACAATCCACAAAGAATATTCATCAATGTGCTTTTTCCTGTCCCACTGTGACCCAGTAGTGCAGTGATCTGACCTTCATATATATCAAATGACAAGTCTAGTTCAGGAAAAGAGAAGGCTTAAATGTGATTTTTTACTTCTGTTCAGGTTATAAAAGGTACTTCATAATTTTAAGCAATCTCAAAGACAAGAAATTTCAAGACATAAAGTTTTCAGCACTGTGAGCAGGTTAGGAGCTTCCTGACATAGTGGTATGAACAACAGGAAATGTAAATAAACTTTTATTGATTTGTTCTTATACTAAGACCTAAGGTATACACAAAATGTGTTTTCTGTGTGCTGACTTTTGAGAATTCCAAAAGGAATTAAAACAAAAATTTAGCCCCCTCCCCAGAGGTATTTGAAGATATGCTAAACATACTGGGAAAAGAAAAAAATAAATGAACACCCAAAGCACAGGAATGGCGAGGTAAATATGTAAAGGCTTGAGTTAATGAGCATTCATAACTGGATGGATATATGTAGCAGGAGGCCTCCAAAGATCGGCCCAATACGGCACAGCGTCCATGGCTGCCCACCCCACTTGCTGACCTCGTTCTTATCCGCAAGGCAGCTGAGCAATCGGGTCCTGACTCCCCAAATTTTGAACAGGTTCTTCGCCAGTGGTCCTTACATTTACAAACCCACTATGATTGGTATAACTTACTAAAGGCAGTCTTAGAACCCTCAGTCTTTCTAAACTGGCGTGCAGCCTATGACGATCAGGCTGAAAACCAGGCACGCCTAAATCTCCAATATGGCCTCAACATTACGTTGGACATGCTCACGGGACGTGGACAACATACTGACCCCATCTCCTAGTCTACTATTGGCCTCCATGCCTATTTTCAACGAGTTTCTGACTTGGCTTTTAAGGCCCTTAAATGTTGCTCCCCTCCGTGATCCACAAGTCCTTTTCCCTAATTTGATTCAACAGTCAGGGAAGTCCTTCACGGACTTCCTAGTCACCGAGGCAGTAGAGTGGAGGGTGGAGTCTGGACCCTCCCGAGAGGTGCTTATTAAACAGTCAACTTGGGAGGGACTAAACATCCCTACTTGTAATGCTACTGCGCCTGTCCACCATGATAACATTCACAAATGGGTACTCGCTACTAGAGACTTAGACCCTAGGGCGGGCCCTATTGAGGCTTTGACCGCCTCCTTGGAGACTCTTTTGTCTCAAGGAAAATCCGCCCACTTTGGCGCATTGGAAGGCTGCTGGAACTGTGGGGGGCTTGGCCACTTTCATAGCCACTGCCCAAGAGGTACGGCCAGCCCCAAGACTCGCTGCCTCAAGTGCCAAAGAGGGTTCCATTGGGCTAAAGACTGTAGGTCACAGCCTCAAATAGACTCGGCTCCTTTAAACCCCACCCGGGGCGCCCCTCAGCCCTGCCCACAAGAGGGGAAACGAGACATATTATGGACTCTCCCAATCCTCAACCACTCCCCACTAATGACTCTGTTCCTAGATGGAACTGCCATAAAGGGCCTAGTACACAGGGGCTGATGTCACCATTATATCAGAAACTGAATCCCTTAAATTCCCTCGTTGGAAATACCGGCCAGGCCCACCAATAAAAGGAGTTGGCAGCACACAAGGTACCAAGTTGGTCACACGTCCAGTATATTGAAAGGACTTGGACAGGAACCAGGGCACAGTTACCCCCATAGTAGCAGATGTTCCCCGTAACTTATGGGGCCGAGACGTCCTAGAGGACATGGGCGTGGTCCTTACCACAGATGCTGGCGCCTTTTATGATGATATCATGCTCCACGATAACTTGGGACTATCAGGGAAAGGACAACACCTTGCCCAACACCCCCAATCCTAACGGCCACTGCCCGCCCGGGACCGACTCCAATCTTGGCTCCCGAGCTGATCCCCATCACCTGGCTCTCTAATGATGCCATTTGGGTGGACCAGTGGCCTATAACAGAACCTAAATTATCTGCCCTCAAAACTTTGGTAGCTGAACAATTGAGGCTTGGCCACATCGAGCCCTCTCTCAGTAAACATAATACCTCAATATTTGTTATTAAAAAGAAATCAGGGAAATACAGACTCCTCCGAGATCTTAGAGCAGTCAATGCCCAGATGGAAAAGATGGGCTTGCTACAAGTGGGCTTACCACACCCTACAGCTATCCCCCCATCCCATCATATCATAGTACTTGATATCCAAGATTGTTTCTTCCAAATCCCCCTAGCGGAACAAGATAGACCTCACTTTGCCTTCACAGTATGGGAACCCAACTTTCAAAGAACAACCAAGAGATACCAGTGGAAGGTACTATCACAGGGTATGAAAAATAGCCCCACAATTTGTCAATTATATGTTATTAAGGCCTTAACCAACATCCCCAAGGACCTAATTGTCATCCACTATATGGACATCATACTGCTAGCACACAAATCTCACAATACTTTACAGGCTGCAATATCCAGTCTGCTAGCTGATTTAGAATGTCTTGGTCTCCACATTGCACGAGACAAGTTACAATACATCCAACCTTTCACATTCCTTGGCTACCATATAGATACTGTAATTAAAATGCTTAACCCTTCCATCTTGCAAAAAACTGTGTATACCTTGACTGAGCTCCAAGAACTCTGTGGGACTATAAACTGGTTCAAATAATTTATACCATTCCCTGACTTGGAATTCTGGGCCTTGTTCTCTCTCTCTGCTGGAAGGCCATAATTCACCAACTTCAAGGATCCCTCTCATCCAGTTAGCTAAGGATCTTCTTAATAAGATAGATCATATTCTCTGGTCTGCATCACTCCGCGTCACTCCGACGTCATGACCCAGCAGAACCATTACTGGCCTTGATCCTCTGGACTAAAAATGGTGTCTTGGGGGCACTATGGCACCAAGACCTCCTAGTGTGGATCCACCTGGCTACTTTGGACCTAACTAGGCTTAGCTCTAAGTATGATATTGCCTTCAAGTTACCAATTAAGGCCTGACAAACAGCCAGGTGTATATTTGGAAAGGAACCTGACAAAATTATACTGCCCTTTCCTATTATGCATTCCCAAACATTATGGGCAGACTCTCTGGCTTTCCAACTAATGATGTCGGGTTCACGGGGGAATTGGATAACCACACCCCCCCAGATAGCGACTAGCCAGCCTGGCCCGTTTGGAAATCACCACTCAGCCACACACTTCCCCCTGCAAAAACCCCCCTACCTTTAGCCACGCTAGCCTTCTCGGATGCCAGTAAGTCCCGTTATGGCTTTGTCATTGAGTGCGTGGGAAAGGATGACACCTGTTACGTACAAGCCAATCCCAGCTCTGTCCAGTTGGGGGAGCTCCTGGCCTTGTAAAAAAATCTTCCAAGTCTGCCAGACAGAGCCGCTCAATATATTCTCTGACAGCCAGTATGCGGTTCAGGCCCTCAGATGTCTTCCCTTTGCTCGGGTAAAAGGCCACAAGGATCCCATCACTAGAATGATGAGAGCTCTCCAGATTATCTTAGATAACAGACAATGGCCCTGGCACATCTCCCACATAAGATCACACACCAAGCTCCATGGGATCTTGGCAAAGGGAAATGACAAAG